AGGCAGTCTGATGCACATAGATTTTTTTTTTTAATCCCTAGTGCATTTCTGGATATTATGGTTTGTTTAGTTGTGAAATGGTATCAGTTATCTTAAGTATAATAGTTTTCATATGCCCTTAAGAAGCTGTGGGAAGGTGGTTTTGAGTTGGAAGCTAAAAGATTTGGGTGTCTATTCAACCACTGGGCACTGTGGTGTGCTGACAAAAGCTCCAGGTGTTTCTGGAACTATAAGAGGACTTCAAAAAGTTCTTGGAAAATGAAATTAAAGTTTCATGCCAAGAATTTTGAAATCTATAGTTTTTTTTTTTTTTGAAAGGTTTTTGCTATAGGGCGTGTGTGCTCGCCAGACAGACAGAGAAAGACAGAGACAGAAAGCGAGAAATCACTCCCCCCAGGGGGGATGGCCATGCCACAATCCCTTCTCCTCCATTGTCCTCTCGGGATCTTGGGCACGCACGCACACGCGCCCAGCGTGAGTTTTAAGCCACTGGGTCCGGGACGCGAACCGCGGTCGACTACGTGCGAGTCCAGCGACATAGCCATTATGCTAACTGCTGGTCCCGAATCTATCTATGGTTTTTAAATAATATGTGTTCTCCATGAGCTTTTTGAACACCCCCTTTCATATACCACAGTGTGAAATATCCCTTCAAAGGAACTGGTATTTATGAGACTCAGATACTTTTTTTTTTTTAAATGAACTTCAGAAAGTTAAAAATTACATACAAATGCAAGAAAATATTCTTACTGTGCTTTTATTCTTTCCAATCATGTTTCACATTCACATTTGAAACTTTGGTGTGTGAATTATCAATGTAAGACAGCCTTTCCTCTTTCTTCAGTTGTGAAAAAATTGGTGGACTTTGAACTCCCTTATGTTAGCCTTCGAAGTTCTGAAGTGGAAAACTGTAAGGTCGGTCTCAGAAAGTGGTAAGTACTTTAGGTTCTTAAGTATTTCTTTCCAATGCCGATCAGAACCTGTCTGTTTTTGCCACCTGCTGTGCACAGATTCCCACAGTTAGAGAGAGAATAGGAACTTGGGGAAGGTTAAGATGAAAGCATTGACGGTCAGCCTCTATGGCATGGTTGCTAATGTTCCGGACTACAGAGCTGGAAGCCACGTGTCAACCGCAGTTTGAGTCCTTGGCCAGGTGGGTCTGAAAACATGTCAAAGTCCTGTGCTTATGTGCTCAGGATCCTGGCAGGCTGGAAAGAGGGGAGACCATGGCATGACCAAGCCCTGTGAAGGGAACCTCTCTCTCTTTCTCTCTCGTGCATGTGTTCTATAATGAATAATGAATAAATGAACAGAAAGAGGAAAACAGTGAAAAAGAGAGAGGGTGAGATGAACCAGAATATTTGTCCTAAAAGACAGAATGACTTTCACATCTCAAATAAATGCTCAGAGAGTATTATAATGGGGAAGGTGGCTATCTATTCTTCGTTTCTACTGAGAGGCAAACAAGGGGATAAGGCTTGACAAATGGGTGGGGCAGGGAGGCAGGCAAATCAAAGCAGGTAATGGTCAGAAATGGCTGACCCTGGGTTTGCCCTGGAATGGATTACTGATTATACTAACTGAAGGAATCTATTGATGATCACAAGCAGATCTGATTCATCTGTTGAACTGAGGTATTTCTTGAAGGCAAAAGACAATGAATTTGATCCTGAGACTATGAGAGTCTGAAAGTTTACTCAGGAAATGTGTAGTGTGAAGTGTGAACAGACAGCTGGGAAGTTTCCAGAGCAGCCCAGGCAAGCGATGAGAGTGACTTGAGTGTCGAGTGGTGATGTGGGTATGTGCGAGGCAGGTGACCCTGCCAGTATTGTGGGATGTGGAAAGAGAATCCAGGACTTGGTGGTCAATAACAGGGCTGAGTGTGAACAGGGATGTGGACCATTCCCTAAACTTTTATATCTTTTGCATCTTTACTCTCCGAACCCACCAGGCAAGAGCTTCTAGTATAAAGGAAATAGGAAACAGAAGAGGTGGAAGGGAAAAGTGAAAGCCAGGTTAACCTAGGGGTGTGGCTTTATTAGAAAAGGAAACCCTGATTTTTAGGGTAGAGGGTTGCCCCTTTCAAAAGCACTGCCTCCCAGGTGTGCATGTTAGCCACGTCATGGATTAACTTCATGCTCTGAGTTATGCAGGTACCTGGATCCATCCCTTGACTCCATGCTGATGGACTGCAGAGCGGCCGTGGATTTGCTCTACATGCAGGTGAGGTAACCAAGGACTCTCGGGACCTGGATATTATCGGCCATTAGGGTTGGGAATCATTTTAAAAGTTGGCAGTAGTTACGAATTCTACCTTCAGGGCCACCAGGTGGCATAGTTATTAAGGAGATGGACTCCCACATGGCTGACCATGGTTTGAGTCCCAGATCTGGCAGCTTGAAACTCATGCCGTGCATGTGTGCATACATGCCCCAAATCCCAAGGGGGACGAAAGAGAAGGGATTGTGGTGTGGCTGTCCCCCATTAGTGGGGGGGTGATTTCTCACTTTCTCTCTCTCTGTCTCTCTGGTGAGCATAAACACCTTACAGCAAACCCCACTCTCTGTCTCTCTGGTGAGCATACACACCTTACAGCAAACCCCACCCCACAAAAAAAAAAAAAAAAAAAAGAAAAGGATTCTACCTCAACACCTAGGATAGGCAAATTTATAAAGACAGAAAGTGGAATAGAGGTTACTAGGGGCTGGAGGATAAGTTATTATTTAATGGGTACAGAGTTTTGTTTGAGGAATAATGAGAATGTTTCTGGTATAGATAGCAATGACAGCTATAAAACATTGTGAATGTATGTAATGCTCCTGAATTATACATTTTGAATGAGTAAAATAATACATATTATGTTATATATTTTACTATGACAGAAAAAAATAAAAATAGAAAAAAGTCAAAGAATTTAGAGAGAAAACAAAATAATTCTACCTTTGTTTTATAAAATTATTTATTTATTTTTATTCATTATTATTATTATTATTATTTTGCTTTTGTGATGGGGCATACGTGCTCACCAGAAAGAGACAGAGAGCAAAAGCAAGAAAGCAAACCAGGTCTGGGACTCGAACCATTGTTGCCATGTGAGAGTCCAGTGCCTTAATCACCACACCACTTGCTGGCCCCTCTGCCTCTGTTTTCACAGCCATTCTCTGAATTTGCTGCTGACACTGTCAATCTAGGTTTACATGGCACGAGCCTAGATAGAATACCCATGGTCATTTAAGCTCACATGTGGTCCTTAAATCTCACTCTAGCCTTTTTCTTGAGCCAACCAGCAGCATACCTGCCTGCCTATGGGGTCAGCTTCTTGGATCTGTGGTGTGTGCAGTTCCATTAAGTCCTATGCTCACAAGGACCCTGTGCTCAGAAAGTCCTATGTTTTTGGGGGGGTTTGCTGTCACCAATGTGAAGTTCTAAATAATTTTTGAACAAGGAACCCTGCGTTTTCATTTTGAAACAGGTTATCTATTATGGTTTATAAAATGGTCTGTCCCCCAGAGGTTCATGTAGTTAAATTTGAGTGTCTCCTAAAAATTCATAGATTGGGACTTGATTGTATTGTAAGGCTGTTAAGAGAAAATGTAATCCCCTCATTGTGTCTCAGCGGGGGGAACCTTTGGGTATAATAAAGCCATTAGGGTAGGACCCCCATGTCTGAGTTCTGCTGTGTACTAGAAAGGAAAAGAAGCAGGCAGATACCACATGGATATAGATGAGACTCTGCTCTGCTGAAAGCTCTGCTTCTGCCATTCGTGATGCCTTTGCACTTTCCAGCCACACGACTTGTGAGTTTTGTGAACAAACCTCTACTTTCTTTATAAATTACCCAGTCTTGGGTGTTTCTTTTAACAATGCAGAAATGAATTAAGACATAGGCCCTGTAAATTATGTAGTTGGGGGGCCAGCAGGTGGTGTGGTAGTTAAGGTGCTGGACTCCCAAGTGGCCAACTGTGGTTTGAATCCTAGACCTGATGGCTTGCTTTCTCACTTTCCTTCTCTCGTTCTCTGTTTCTCTCTGGTCAAATTTTTAAAAAATAATACGGATAAATAAAATTAAATAAAAAAATTTCTTTAAAAAAAATGATGTAGTTGGTTCTTCCTACTCCATCAGACTCCAAAAGAGCAAATGTAGACTTTGGCCTCTTTTCCCTCCTGCCTCTTGTTGTGAAGGTTCTGCTAAGCAGTGAAACAGCAGATGCCACCTTAGAACCCACTCCCAGGTGACCATCACCTCAGTGCCTGCTTTACCAGCCATCCCCAAGTTCACTCTTACCAAGGCAGCATCTTTGGAGTTCCCTGCGAATATCCCACAGTCTGTAGTCAGGCAGCAGGCAGGGCGGCAGGTCAGATCCTTGTCCTGTTCAGCCTGGCCCAGGCTTTCCCTCTCACTTAAACCACAGCTCAATCCTAACGTGCGGGGTTTACTTCCTCCTCAGCATTTCACCATGGGACGATATATGGACATGCATGTTTGTTTACTGTCCCTGTCCTTACTAGAATGATTCCTCCATGAAAGCAGGCATTTATGTGCTCACTGCTATTCCCAGAAACTAGAACTATTCCTGACACAATGTCGGCTCTGAGCCCTGTGGTGGGCCCAGCGTTGTATTTACTGCTTTAAGTGCATTTAAGTATAATTATTCTGGAAGGCAGTCGATATCTTTGATTTTTAATGAATATATTGCAAGAGGATGTGTGTGCTTGCCAGAGAGAGAGAGAAAGCAGCCCCAAATGGGGCATGGCCACATCACATTCCTTTTTCCTCCATTCCTCTTTCCTATTGGGATTTTGGGCATGTCTCCACATGTAACCATCCAGTGTGTTTTTCAAGCCACCAGGCAAGGATTTGAATATCCAGTGGGCTTTGTGGGATTCGGCTCCCTTAACCACTGTCTAGAGGGCCAGCCCACTAGTTGGTATCATCTTCATTTTTATAAAGAAGAAACATGAAGTTTGCTGGGAGAAGATCTAGTAGTAGGCTTGGGTTACTAGATGATGTAGGAGAGGGACTTAACAGTAGTTATTTGGAGATGAGTTTTTATTATGGGATTCTAAACTGCTACACTCTAGCCTTTTATAAAATCAAGAGGTAGAACTGACGAGAAGGGAGAAATGGTGGATTGACCATTATTTTTTAATGTCTTCTCTCTCTCTGTCTCTCTCTCTCTCTCTCTCTCACACACACACACACACACACACAGAGAGAGAGAGAGAGAGAGAGAGAGAGAAGCAGGTACCATTGACAAGTCTTGCCATGCCACAATCCTTCCCCCAGCCAGCCATATTACAGGTGTGTGTGGGCACATCTGGCATATTCAGATCTGCCTGGGATCTGAACTGAGGCCTGCCATATGGCTTCAGGATTGTGCAGAGGTGCCCTATCACCTGTGCCACCACAGCTGGGCTCAGTTGTTACTTGTGATAAGTTTTTCAGGGAGATAAGAACTCATTAATGAAACCTACTTTAGTACTTTGGGTGTAGCAAAAATGTTGATGGATAAATTTTGATGCTTTAGCTACTAGAGAGCATAGACTACGAGAACCTCAGCATATACCTACCTGGGTGACCCCTTATTTTTATTTTAAATAATTATTTTATTTAACTTTTTATTTGTTTATTCACTTTAATTTGACCAGAGAGGGACAAAGAAAGAGAGAGAGAGGGAGAAAGCAAGCTGCCAAGTCCGGGACTCAAACTGTGGTTGGCCATGGGAGTCCAGCACCCTTAACCACCATGCCACCTGCCAGCCCCATTTTTTAAAAATTTTATTTATTATTAGTATTTTTAAATATTATCAGAGAAGGAAAGTGAGGAAACAAATCACCAGGTCTAGGACTTGAACCACTGTCGACCAGGAGGGAGTCCAGTGCCTTAATCACCATGCCACCTACTGATTCCATTTTTTTAAAGAATTATTTTATTTAACTTTCTTTCTTTCTTTTTTCTTTTTTCTTTCTTTTTATTATTTTAAAGAAAGCTTATTTTATTTAAAAAAAAAAAAAACACAGAAAAAAATCATGTGCTCTGGAAAGAGAGCTAGTCCATTCTGGCCTTCAGTGTCCTAATAGTGATCTTGTCCTTCTCAATGGCATGGATGATGACTCCTATGCCCAGCAGTGCGTCCTGGTCTACAGCATTCAGCATGGCCTGGGAGATGGTTTTATACAGGCGTTCTGGGTCCATGTTAGGCTCCCAGAGGGACTCGCATATTCCAGACATCTGTGCAGAGCTGGTACCACTGACCACAAAGTCGTCAGTCACCATGGGGCAGCCGATGAGGTCCAGAGAGCAAATGAAGGGCTTACAGGTCTTCGGGTCCAACACAGCCATGACTGGCTCAGCGTAGTAGGGGCCAAACCATCTCTCACACAGGAAGTTGGCCACCATGCTCATGAGGGTGTAAGGCTTGATCTGTTGGCCCTCCTTCAATTCATACAGGTTCAGCCAAAACTTGAGGTGCTGGGCAACTGTCTGGACATTGGTGGCAAGCTGGCCAGGCCAATGTGCAGCCTGTCACCTATGGGAAAGATCTTCTGAAAGTCCGTGGTCACCATCTGCACCTAGATTCCGAAGCGCCTGTCTGCAGCGATGGCCACGCAGTTCTTCTCTCTCATGGCCATGACAGCCCCTCTGTTATAGGACATAACAGACATGATTGTGGTTACTAGGATCCCCAACTGTCACTGCAATTCTAGTAAACCAGTTCTCAATTTTCTTTCTGCCTTTCTTTCCTTCCTTCTCTTTCTTTCTTTCTTTCTTTCTTTCTTTCTTTCTTTCTTTTCTTTCTTCCTTTTTCTTTCTTCTTTCTTTTATTTGTCTAGTGAGGGACAGAGAGAGAGAGAGAAAGAGAGAGAGAGAGAGAGAAAGTCAGAAAGCAAGCTACCAGCTCTGGGACTCCAACTGTGATCAGCCATGTGGAAATCCAGTGCCCTTAACCACCACACCACACCTTGGCCCCCCCTTCTTTTTTAACATGGAAGAACATGTGTGTAAAAGAGGAAGAAAGAGGAAAAGCACTCCCCACACCCTAACAGGACCTCGTCACACCATAATAATTTTCTCTCCAGTTTTCTATCCTTTCAGGATCCTGAACAAGTGTGTGTGCCTAGCATCTTTTTTCAAGCTGCTAAAAAAACAAGGGACTCAAACCCTTGCTGGCCATGTGGAAATCCAGCTTTCTCTGCATAGCATGTAACTTCTGTGCTACAGTGCAACAACTTTAGGGACCTTTTTTTTTTTTTTAAATTTCTTTTTCCTTTATTCATAATAGAGTATGTGTGTGCCTGTGTAAGCGTGAGAGGGATGAGCCCTCTCCACACAGCCTGGTCCCGCTGTGATTTCCTTCCTATAGCCCTCCAGCCTTTTGGATCTTGAGCACGTACACCTGTGCCAATGTGTTTCAGGCCGATGTGAGGGGATTCAAACCACGGTTGCTGTGCGTGATTCAGTTTCTCTTGAGCAGTGCATTGTAGCTGTGTTATAGAGCTGGCCCTTTAGGTAATTTTTTTTTTTTTTTAGAGATTTTTGCTGTAGGGCATGTGCACTGCTGGGGAGAAGGAGAGGGAGGGAGA